CAAGGGTAAGGCAACTCATTTTGAAACATTGGACAGACATGGCAAAAGAATTATTCAAACGCTTCCAAAAAATATCTTCTACTACAAACTGAAAACAATGAAGTACTCTTTGTTCATGATTAAAGTTTGTTTTATCAATCATATACCTGAGCGAGCCTTCGGGTAAATGGCTTTGTTTTTTGGATGTTAGGGTCATTTTTTAACTTTTTGGAGGTGTAATGGTTTCGGAAATGGAATAGGCCATTTGGATAAACCACTCTCATTATCTTATGAGCTGTTTGATTGTTGTAACTATGTATATCTCTACTTACAAGTCGTCTAAACTTAAGTATATTCTTGACTCAACCAAAACAATAGACAAAAGCTTTCTTTATCCTTTATGGTGATTAATAAGTCTGCTAAGTTTATTTACATTTTGACAACACCCGAACCGTAGTCCTGTCCCATAAACGAACGAGACTGATTAAGTGGGTCACCTTGATCGCACTGCTCCATTCCCAGCGAGGCGCATATAAAATTGGTTCGTAAACAGTTATAAATTTTTCCAGAAGCAGGCACATTTCAACTCTGTGCACATACAGGATTAAAAAAAGAGGGCGTGCTAGCCTTTTTCCTTGTCCCCTTAGATTCGCAAAGATTCCGTGACAAAACACCAAACAATGAGGGACCGTTCATGGTTTATCCCTGAGAGGGGGTGGAGAGCGGCAAAGGATTTTGGATGTGTCGCAATAAAATTTACCTGATCCTCCCTAAGGCTGTTTGATATTCTAATGAACCCCTCTCCCCCATTGGCAGTTAATTGGTAGTCAATATTCTACAGTCCCTCCTTTATACACTGATGATAAACATGATTCCCCACTCTGTCCCCCCTGAAAACCGTCTTCCCTCCAAAACCCTCCCCTCCCTCCCCAGGAAATATTGACTGGTTCCTTGTTACAACTGCTTTTAAATCCAACAAGGTTTTCAAGGATCAAGGAATGGAACAGACAGACCACACCCAACAAGTCGCTGAATGCATTTTGCGTTTCTTCCCTGGCTTCGAAGCCTTCAAACTACCTTCACCATCTGCAGATGAAGAGGTCATGAAAAACATCAACAGAAACAGAAATCACATCAACAGTGAGTTCTTCTCTGAGATAGAAAAGTTCAAGGTCTTGTTGAAGAGTACTTTAACTCCCAAGCGAAGCTTCAACGATGGAGAACTGGTGACTGGTCAAGGTAAATCTTATTATTTGATCTTCTGTCAACTTCCATCTTCTGTTAGAGAGCAACACGTAACTTCTCATAGATTTATGTGTATTTTTCAAAAGTGAACAGTTTTGAAGAAAATATTAGAGGGATGAACAAAATCTCTGGAATCTCAGGTTACGCTCTACTTCTTGAATTATCGTTCCCAATCCTATGTTATGTTTTCATTGTTAGATTACTTTTTAAACCTTTTGTCCACAGTACACCGACAATTTTCCATCCCTCGATAACCCACTCTATTTCCAGGTCTGGCTGCTTTGGTTGAACTTTATGTGAAGGCCATCAACACTCCCGGAGTCATTCCTAATATCCAGTCAGCCTGGGACACATTTGTAACTGATAAATGTTCTGAAGCAACGCACGCAGCCATGCATGTCTATAACGCCATCATGCATTCAAAACTGTCAAATCAGGTGCCTTGTGACTCCGAAGACATTCGTAAATATCATGAAACTGCACTTGACCAAGCAATCGGTCAGTTAGAAGTTGAAACAATCGGAATATCCTCTGTTACAATCGAAAGGTACCTGAACGAACTGATGGTAAGGAGTTTTTACATATTGCGTAAACATACCTTATTCAGTACTCTGAAAAAGAAAAAAAATTCCCATGAACTTTTGAAAAATTCGTCCATTGTTTTCCCCAGTCCTAACCTTTTTGTACGGATGAGTGAAATTTTCGCTAATTGTAACGGGACAAAGTTTTTAAGATTTTACTAATAATAAGGTTAGAGGTTTTAAATCATGATGAAATATTTAAAAACGGAAGAGTACCTGGTCGGAATTCGAACGCGGCGAAATCAAGTTGTGCGAAGGCATCTCCGACAATCTTGAATACTTAAAATTAACAGTAACTGTGCTTCCTAGCATTCTTTGCGACCCTTAGCCGGGAAAATTTTCATTAACTCAATGTTTTTGATTAAGTTACTTGTAAGAACAGCCAATAACGGTTCAGTTATTGTTTGAAAACACACGTAAAACAAAAACCAACAACAGCAGGGAAAGTACAATAGATGTGAAAGGTCTTTTCTTCTTTTTATTTCTCAGTCACTTGCTGAACGAGATTATTTCAAGGGGCAGACGGAAAATGATCAATTCACTCGAGAGGCTTGCAACGCTCTCCTAAAGCAACTCAAAAAACAACACTTGGACCCAATCCTGGCTCAGCTTCACGGGAAGGAAGGCGCCAAAGTTACGTTCGACGACATCTTAGCAGGATACAATAAAATTGAACAGGATTATGAGGATCGTGCCACCGGAGCAAAAAAAAAATTGTGCTGCTGTGTTCTTCGAATTCCATCCGGTAAAAATGCTTTTTATTTGAAATTAAAAGTTAGACCAGAAATGAGAAAAATGAATGAGTTTGAAGCCTCCTCATCTGTATCTTACATATTTTTTGACATTAATAATTTCACGGACAATAAAAGATATGGATATCCATTGAATGCAGTTCCTTTCGTACAAGTACATTGCGATTCTTGTAGTAATCATTATGTAGTTTCAAGAGACTATAACAGCTGTTGGTTACTGTAAAGAAAACCAACACACAAAGCAACGATTGTAAGTGAAAGTTGTACTTTTATCCCAGGAACTTATGACAGAAATGCAGCAATACTTAGGCGTGCTGAAACAATTAAAAGATTTCGACGAGAATTTGAGTCGAGAAATTGCAGCTAAAGCTTATCAACAGCAAGAGAAGATAAAACTTGAGGTACTGATGATACACCTTTAATCGACGTACTGATCATATTTATTTTTAGCGGATATTAGTGAAATTTAAAATGAGAAATGGCAAATTGGGAATAGGGAAAAAAGGGAAAAAAGGGAAAAAGGGGAAAAAAGGGAATGGGAAACTAAATGGGAATTTTTTTTAATGTTCTACAGCAAAATAAAGGAGCGGAAAAATATATGGCATAATAGCATTCCATTTCTCAAAAACCTCAATCCACTAAGCTTTAAGAGAACATAAGCTGACCGCAGTTCATCCTTTCTTTGTGTTTTTTGACAAAAAGAATGGAATATATATACCTTATTAGACGTTTTGTTATGTAGTATCGCTGAGTATTTTTTTACGAGTTGTGCCGTATTTTGACGAGCCCGTAAAATACTCAGCGATACTACACAACAAAACGTCTAATAAGA